ATTAAATGTGATTTATGCGCCACCATTATAATATCACAGAATTCTGTATTTGTCTATACATTTACCTTTTCCAGTGAGCCTTTTCCTTTCATATTCTTTCATGTTGCTGTTTGGCATCATTTCCACTTGAAGAACTTCCTTTAGCATTTCTTGTAAGGCAGGTCTAGTGGTGATGAACTCCCTCAGCATATTATCCCACTCCCTCTGGCCTGCAAGACATCTGCTGAGAAATCTGCTGAGAGTCTTATAGGGGTCCCCTTGTACATGACGAATTGCTTTTCTCTTGTTGCTTTCAAAATTCTCTCTTTGTCTTTGACTTTTGACAATTTGATTACAATGTGTCTCACTGTGGATTACTTTGGATTCATCCTGTTTTGACTCTATATGACTTCACTTTTTAATATAAATTTATTTATTTATTTTTGGCTGTGTTGGGTCTTCTTTGCGGTGTGCAGACTTCTCATTGCAATGGTTTCTCTTGTTGTGGAGCAGGGCTCTAGGCATGCGGGCTTCAGTAGTTGTGGCGCAGGGGCTTAGTTGCTCTGCAGCATGTGGGATCCTCCCAGACCAGGGTTCAAACCCGTGTCGCCTGCATTGGCAGGCAGATTCTTAACCACTGCCCCACCAGGGAAGCCCCTATATGGCTTCTTGAATCTGGATGGCATACATTTTCCCAGATTTGGGAAGTTTGGGGCCATTATTTCCTTTCTTTCTTTCTTTTTTAAATCGAGGTAACATTGGTTTATAACATTATATGTTTCATGTGTACAACATTATATTTCTACTTCTGTATACACTAAGGCATGCCTACCACCAAAAATTTAGCTTCCATCCCTGACTCTACAGTTGACCCCCTGTTGGGAAGCCAAGATATCGAGTAATATCCTCTGAACTGAGAAGGAACTTTGAGGCTGAAATATGAAGCAGGCCACTCCATAAAGTGCAATTATGAAGTTTATTATGGGTAACTTACATACAGGCGGGAAAGATCTGCTGGATGGATGATCCAGAAGCATTCGCAGCTGCACTCCATGTCATCGAAAAGGGCACAGGGGAGTTCAAAGGGGCCGAAGCTAAAAATAGAATCTGACTACCAAGTAAGAAGCATACCCACACTGACAAGAACTGGGGATTTTTCCTGTCTCTGGGGGTCTCTTGACCATTGACCATCTGCACCAGCAAAGGCATTCTTCCAGTTTTCGTATCAGATGAAGGCAAGGGTAAAAATTGATAGGGAACTTATCTGGCTTGGGTGCATTCCTTGTGAGTAGGCTAAAGTTCAGTCACTCAGAAAAGGGAGAGGGTAGGACTGTGGGCCTGAGACGGAGTTGACAAAATGGAGTCAGTGTGGTGAAGCCACACACTCCCTGTAACCATTTCACCTTCCCGCACCCACCCCCTATTCCTTGCCCTCTGGCAACCACCACTCTATTCTCTATATCTAAACATTTGGTTTGATTTGGTTTGTTCATTTGTTTTTTGTTTCTTTTTCTATATCTCACGTATGAGCGAAACCATATGTTACTTGTTTTTCTCTGATTTATTTCATTTAGCATAATACCCTCAAGGTCCATCCATGTTGTTGCAAATGGCAGGATTTCACCTTTTATGGCTGAATAATATTCCTGTGTGTTTGTGTGTGTTATCTCCCACATGTTCTTTATCCATTCATCTGTTGATGGGCACTTAGGTTGTTTCCATATCCTGGCTATTAATAATAATACTAAGATGAACATAGGGGTGCATATATCATCTTCAGTTAGTGTTTTTATGTTCTTTGGACAAATACCCAGAAGTGGAATAGCTGGATCATATGGTAGCTCTATTCTTAATTTTTTGAGGAATCTCCCATCCTTTTTTCCAAAGTGGCTGCACCAATTACATTCCCACCAACAGTGTAGGAGGGTTCCCTTTTCTCCAACACTTGTTATTTCTTGTCTTTTTGATAATAGCCTTTCTAACACATGTGAGATGATGTCTCATTGTGGTTTTCATTTGCATTTCCCTAATAATTAGTGATGTTGAACATCTTTTCATGTACCTGTTGGCCATCTGTATGTCTTCTTTGGAAAAATGTCTATTCAGCTCCTCTGCCCATTTTTAAGTTGGATTGTTTAGGGTTTTGTTGTTGTTGTTGTTGAGTTGTATTAGCTTTAATTATTGGCCATGGATTGAATTTGATCTGTAGCCTCCCCACCCCCGCCAAGGTAGAACTGATATCACATGGTTCAAATCCCCAACCCTGTAATCACACAGTTGGTCTTTCCAGCATGACCAGCCCCTATTCTGAAGCTACTGAGGGGTTACCTGTGAATCACCTTATTAGAATAAACTCCAGTGTGATCTAAGGGGCTTATGAATAACAAAGACATTCTTATTACTCAGGAAATTCCAAGGATTTGGCGTCTCCCTCCCAGGAACCAGGCACAAAGGCCAGTCTACTTCTTTATCATTCAACACTGCTGCAAAGAAGACACAAATAGGTTAAAATTAAGAGGACAGAAAAAGATATACCATACAAAAAGCAACCAAAATAGAGCTGAAGAGGTTAACAAATTAATAGATCTATCAAAGGATCAAAGTAAACCGTTAAGTGAAAGGCCCAAATATAATGGAAAACTAATATCTGGGAAGTACATTATTTAATATAGTAGGAGAAAGATGGTTTATTCAATAGACAGAGTTAAGTAAATGGACTAACAGTATGTGTGTGGGAGTAATTATATACCAATTTTATTTTATATATATATACACACGTGTGCACACACACATTTACAATGCATGGAATAATTAAATGACTCAGTGAAAATCAGGTAAATATAAACTTAAATTCTGATATAGGCATGGATTTTCTAAGCATAACACCAAAGGTAAAAACACTAAAATACTGAGAGGTTTGACTTGATAATTATTTGTAAATATCCAAAAAAAAAAATGCCTGAATGGCAATAGTTATATTTTTAAAAATTGAATTGGGACAGAAAGTTTAATGTATATGATTGACAAACAGATGATAATTTTAACACAATGTGCCTGCTTCACTCAGTACTGTTTTTTGTTTTTTTTGTGTGTGTGTGTATGTTTTTGTTGTTTTTTGTTGTTTTTTGAATAAATTTATTTATTTATTCTTGGCTGCAGTGGGTCTTCGTTGCTGCACACGGGCTTTCTCTAGTTGCGGCGAGCGGGGGCTACTCTTCATTGCGGTGCGCAGGCTTCTCATTGTGGTGGATTCTCTTGTTGCGGAGCACAGGCTCTGGCGCACAGACTTCAGTAGTTATGGTACACGGGCTCAGTAGTTGTGGCTCGTGGGCTCTAGAGTGCAGGCTCAGTAGTTGTGGCACACGTGCTTAGTTGCTCTATGGCATGTGGGATCTTCCCAGACCAGGGCTTGAACCCGTTGCCCCCTGTATTGGCAGCCAGTTTCTTAACCACTGTGCCACCAGGGAAGCCCCAAGATCATCTATTTTGTAAAGAAATGGGATCATGCTATACATATTGTTCTGCTATTTCCCCTTTTCACTTGAACACAATTCCTCTACTTCATTTTATGTCAGGTATAGAGATTTAACTCCTTCTTTTTAATGTTGAATTATTATCTAACTGTCCACTAGTCACACTGGCTAACAAGCATTTGAAATGTGACTAGTTTGACTAAGGAACTACATATTAAAATTTTATTTAATTGTAATGATTGTAAATAGCCACAAGTAGCTACCATGTTGTTCAGCATAGACTAACAATTCCTCAAAGGATAAACATTGAGGTTAATTTCAGTTCTTCAGTATTACAGACACGGCTTCAGTAAGCATTACTGTATCCACATCTTTTTCTTTCAAGTCAGCATTTTTGTAAGCTAGAATCTTATATGTAAAAATGCTGGTTGATTAAGGGTTTGCTTTCAGACATTGTGATAGATACTACCCAACTCAACTGTAAAAAGACTGTAGTCATTACTAACAGCTACCTATGAGCGTTCTCATTCCCCCACATTCTCAACAATACTGTATACTATCAACGTTTGTTTTTGATATTTGTTAAGTGAAAACATGGTAAGTCATAAGTTTCCATTATCAATTAATTGCCTCAGCTCACAATGATAAGCTTAACCAAAAGACGGTGCTGGAGGGACATTGCAGGACGAGGAGGTAGGACTTTGGGAAGCTTCCCCATCCCCAGATCAACAAAACAATAAATCAGGCCCTCATTTGTAGTAACTGCCAATTCCCATGGTGTAAACAGTCCTGTCACCGCCAGTTTCTAGCTGCCAATGTGGTATCACTGAAGGTGGAGTTGGGAAGAGATGTACAGTGATACACCACGATATAATTTTTTCCGCCCTACAGACACAATTGACATAATCTCAATAGCATAGATAACAGGAAGTGATGTGTTGGGTATTTATTACCTTAGTTTTCTAAATGCATTTATCGTAAGTCTACATAACTTTTAAATACAATCAGCCCTCCATATCATGGGTTCAGCATCCGTGGATTCAACCGTTAATCAAAAATATTAAAAAAAAAAAATCCCAAAAAGTTCCAAAAAGCAAAACTTGAATTTGCTTCATGACAGCAACTATTTACATAGTATTAGGTATTAGGTACGTAATACCTAATACAAGTAATCTACAGATGACTTAATATATAGAGAAGGATATGCACAGGTCACATGCAAGTACTATGGCATTTTATAAAAGGGACTCCGGCATCCTCAGCACTATCCACAGTGAGTCCTGGAAGCAAACACCAGCAGATACTGGGGGACTACTGTAATGGTTGTGTTAACACGTCTCAATTTTTCTGAGAATCTAACCGTAGGGACCGGCTCCGGAACACTGCTACATCCATCTACAGCCATTCAGTCTGTCCCACGACTGTCACAGTAACACAGAGTCACACACACACTCACACACACCCCACCTGCTGTGTCCCCAGTGCGGGTCCAGGAGCTGGCGCACCTCAGGGACCATCAGCCTACACTGGGCCTTCCGGAGCGCAAACATGTTCAGGCACAAACATGGTCAGGTAAGTACTACCGCTGGGGACTCACCCTAGAATCCCACGCCCAAGACGTCACTCACACACGGCAGGCGCGAGCCGGCGCTTGCGCACTGCGAGCACCGACTACAACTCCCAGAAACCTCCGGGGCGGAGACGCCCCCGGGCCCTTGGGTTTCCGATGTCTCCTGCTTTTCCGGCTCTGGACTACATTTCCCACAGGCCACTGGGCCCCAATGACCGTGGGTCTCGGAAGTCCACCTAGAGCTTCCTCGTGGTTCTTGGGCTGCGCGTGTGAGCAGGTTCAGTGTAAAGAGAAATCATTGCGGGGCGTGGAGGGGAGGGCTTTGAGAACTCCGACCCTAGCCGGCGGTGGGAATGGACGGAGGCAAACGCTCCAGGTAAACGCGAGCTGTGACCGAGGTGATGGTGTGACAGACAAGAGGGGAGGGGTCGTCAAAACAGGTGAGGGTGTCTCCAGGCTGCGTGTGATGGAGAGTCAAATATGCGACAGCGCTGGAGTGTGCTTCAGTGACGGTGAGGGACAGACGTGGTGTAGGGGTTGTGTGTGAACACTGCGCGTGGTAGAGCCAAGGATACGTCACGCTGTGTGAAAGGTGATATTGCATTTGCATGATTGTTCACATGACGGGCCTGAGATATCCTGTGACAGACGGAATGGTGTGTGTGTGTGTGTGTGTAAGTGGGCATCTGTGCACACGAAATGGCCAGTGTATGTCTCTGTGACTGCATGTAAAATACGTTGTATGCGTTTATCTGGTGACCATGACGGAGCCGGAGTGTTTCTCCGCGACCGTGTGACAGACTATACGTGTGTGTGCACCAGAGAGGAGAGAGATTGCAGTTTGTGTATGACAGGATCAGGATGAATCTGTGACTGTGGTGGAAGTGTGTTTTTGTGTGTATCATGACAGGGCGAGGGTATGAATGTGTTGTGTGGTTGTGACAGGTCTGGGGTGTATCAGTGATTGTGTGATACGTGTGTATGTATGACCATCTATGCGTGTGCGTCAGCATATATTTCTGTCACTATGTGTGACAGGCATTGTGTATGTTTGTTGGGTGGGTTGTTTTTTTGAGTGGGTTCTTTTTTTTTTTTTTTTGCGGTACGCGGGCCTCTCACTATTGTGGCCTCTCCCGTTGCGGAGCACAGGCTCCGGACGGGCAGGCTTAGCGGCCATGGCTCACGGGCCTAGCCGCTCCGCGGCATGTGGGATCTTCCCGGACCGGGGCACGAACCCGTGTCCCCTGCATCGGCAGGCGGACTCTCAACCACTGCGCCATCAGGGAAGCCCGAGTGGGTTCTTTAGTATGATGTTTTCTCCTTCTTTTAAAAAAAACACACACTCAATCCAAAGAAATAAGTTCATTTCAATTATTAGTTTGCTATGAGTTTTCATTATTATTATGAATTTCTGTTGATTATTTATCAAATGTCTTTTCTGTGTCTACAAATATGACCGTAAAATTTTTCCTCTTTATTTTGATAACACGGTAGAATACATGTTTTTGGTACATGGTAGAATACATAGATTTTTTAAAATGTTAAACCAACCTTACATTTTTGGAAGAAACCAACTAGGGCATGACATAAGATTTTTTTTGTAAGTTGCTGTCTACCTCTTTTAATATTTTGTTAGTACCTTGATTTATACTGCCAGCATGTTCTGGGAAACTCAGGCTGAGAAATGAGTATAAGATTGATCCTGGGCTTGGAATACCAGGGTGCTTGGAGAAATCATCAAGGAAATTCTCTGGAGGATTGTAACTTCCATTCATGCATTGAAGAGTTTTTACAGATAAACCCAAAGTTAACATAAGGAAACAAGCCACCATGTATTACAGTAGCAAAAACAGCAAACAACATAAATAGAATGCCAAGAAATTAAGGTATGAAGTTTATTGGGTACAGATAAAGGTATGAACTCTATTGGGTACTTATTACATAAGTTCAAAGGAAGAGGAAACTAAAAAGGATGAAAATTATAGGCTTTGTCTATCTTGGGAAGTTAGAAAACAAAGAATAACAGAATGAATAACAGAAAATGGGTCAAAGCAAATTATAAGCATAAATTAATGAAGTAGAAAACACTGATGCAACAGAGAGGCTAAACACCAACCACTGCTTATTTAAAGTGAGTATTTGAAGTGATGCACTTCTGAGGTGATTAATTAATAAAACAGAGAAAAGGCACAAATAAATAATATTAAGAAGGGAAAAGACTACACAAAAATAGAAGACTTTTTAATTAGAATAAATTTGAAAACAGATGGGAATTCCCTGGTGGTCCAGTGGTTAGGACTCAGCACTCTCACTGCTAGGAGTCAGGGTTCCATCCCTGATCGGGAACTAAGATCCCTCAAGCTGCACAGCATGGCCAACAACAACAAAATAGATGACATAACCAATTTCCTAGAAAGATACAACTTAAAGAATTGACAAGAAGAAATAGAGGGATTTCCCTGGTGGTCCAGTGGCTAAGACTCCGCGCTCCCAATGCAGGGGGCCAGGTTCGATCCCTGGTCAAGGAACTAGATCCCTCATGCATGCCACAACTAAGACCTGGTGCAGCCAAATAAATAAAGATTTTAAAAAAGAAGAAGAAATAGAAACTTTTAATAGGCAATTAACCATTAATGATATAGTATCAGTAGTTTAGGCTCTAAACTCTAATCATAACTAGGCTCAGATAATTGTGTAGAAGAATTTAATTAGGGAAGGGTTCAGACACATCTCATTCATATCCTCTCAGCCTCAGCTGTGCCTGGGGCCTTGGGAAAATTGTTTCTCTTGATTCACTGATGCGGCAATCATCCCTGCATGAACGCTGGCCAATTCCACATGGGCACAACCCAGTGCCTGACCTCATGCCGGCACTGGGCACCTCTTGCCTCAAGCCACCTAGGCCCATCTGGTTGTGCTTTTATCTTGATCACACAAATAAAATAGATTCTCCAAAGGGTTTTAATAGATGTTGTGGCTCAAACCTGTAACTTCTTTGTGGGTAAAAGTTCATGTTTGTAAATATTTCTCTCAGTTGGCCCTGTGGGTCTTCCTTTGTTCTTCATTATTGTTGCAGTTATTGTGTGAATGGGAGATGAATGACCAAGTTTCAAATCATTTAGCCCTTTAAAAATAGCCTGAAGAACCTAAGTGTCCATCAACAGATAAGATGGATAAAGAAGATGTGGTATATATACAAGGGAATATTACTCAGTCATTAAAAAAAGAATGAAATAATGCCATTTGTAGCAATATGGATGGACCTAGAGATTATCATACTAAATGAAATAAGTCAGAGGAAGACAAATATCATATGACATCACTTATATGTGGAATCTAAAAAATGATGTAAATGAACTTATTTACAAAACAGAAATAGACTCACATAGAACACAAACTTATGGTTACCAAAAGGGAAAAGGCAGGGGGAGGGAGGGATAAATTAGGAGATTGGGATTAACAGATATACACTATTATGCATAAAATAGATAGACAGCAAGGACTTACTGTATAGCATGGGGAACTATATTCAGTATCTTGTAATAACCTATAATGGAAAAGAATCCATAAAAGAATATATATATTTGAATCACTTTAATGTACACCTGAAACTAACACAACATTGTAAATCAACTCTACTTCAATTTTTAAAAAAATAGCCTGCCAAGAGGGAAGAGGAGAGTCACATTAGGGAAAGATCCTTTGCTTACTACATGATTTATATTTATAAGTGAAGCAAAATGATATCTTCCATTTGCTTTTATTGGTTCAATAGTGATAGTTAAATAGAACAAAAGTAACCACAAGTTATTCCCCTCCTTCTATCCACACGGTTAATGCCCTTCCACACTGATTCTGGGCAAGCCTTGTGACTTGCTGGCCAGTGACATTAGCAAATGTAACTTGAGCAGAGGCATGAAAAGCACTTCCTTATTGGAGGTTGCCCTTTCTCTCTGCCCTTTGGAAACATGTCATTTCCATGTGAAAAATGTCCAGTCTAGCCTGCTGGAAGATGAGAGGCCATATGGAGGAGAACTGAGGCCTGACTGATAGCCAGCCGACTACCAGTCTTGTGAGTGAGACCATCCTAGATCATCCAGCCCATCAGCTGACCATAGAAACATAAGAGAGCCCAACAGAGATTGGTCAAGTCAGCCCATACCAGAAGAACAACCCAGGAGACACAGAGGATCAGGAGATAAATAAAGGGCTTGTTGTTAACCCTTTTTGTTTGTTGTTTGTTACGCAGCAGAAGCTAACTGATGCAGAAACATAGAATAAGCAAATGTTAATATAGTTGACCCTTGAACGATGCAGGGGTTGGGATGCCAACCCCACACACAGTCGAAAATCCATGTATAACTTTTGACTCCCCCCAAACTTAACTACTAATAACCTACTGTTGACCAGATGCCTTACCAATAACAAACATTCAATTAACAGGTAATTTGTATGTTATATGTATTATACTGTATTCTTACAATAAAGTACGCTGGAGAAAAGAAAATGTTATTAAGAAAATCATAAGGAAGAGAAAATACAGTATTGTACTATATTTATTGGTACCATAAGTTTACTTGTCAGTTTACAAGATGAATGGTCTGTCAGTACCTACATCAATATTGTCTTATATGATACAAAGCACTGAAGATGTTATATGTATTACTAACACTAGACATCAAAAATAAAAATGTGAAAAAGCAATTCATATTTATTCACAGGTATAACATTATCATGCATTGATCACAAAGAAGCAGCAATATTGCTTTATGGTAGTCTAGAGTAATTGATACAATTGCTTTATGGTAGCCTAGCCTATATACTAATGAATGAATCATTATAAAATTTTTATGGCATACAGTATTACAGTCATATTCATAATACAGTATTGAGAACATTGTTGCTTTAGAAAAAAAAAACACCTATGATGATAGGCTGATACACAGTTTCCCCAGTTATAAGAGAGAGAGGCATACTGTACAATACTGTAATTCTTTGAAAG